AGAAGTGCCACTAGCACAGTTATAATTATATATGCTGTGATATGATTTGAGAGTAATATATTGGCTTGAGAATATTAAATTGCACATATACTGTCAGTACTGCCACTCTTGAATGTATAGCTGTCGTTATTTTATTATGCAAAATGAAACGATCGTTGATTATAAAGATTAATGGGATAGGAGATAATTGTTGTCATAATAATATTTAATTAATTAATTAATGTATAATCTCTTTTTAGTCTACTGGTGAGTCCCTTGGTTTAGGCCCAGCCTCCAAGCAGCCATTACTCCACCACACTGATGACGCTGACTCCTCTTCCTCTAAATCTTCCTCTCCCGTTAAAAGGAGAAGTACTTCTTTCCGTGGGAGATCTCATAGTATTGTTCAAACCAGACGACGAAAGCGTCACAGTGTTCATGGAATTTCACATTCTAGCAATGTTGATGGTTCTGATATTTTTGAAAATATTGAAAAAGAGAGAAGGCCGTCTGTTGGGGTCATTACTACCAGGTCTAAACCAGTGGCCAATTCTATCATTCCTATTCCTTTTGTCTTCAATTCTGATGAGGTATGGTTATACTGTACAGCTGGCTATTTTGTTTTTTTTATATAAATTTTGTGGATTTTATGAACTAATCAAAAGTATGTTTATGCCTTTAATCCACATAATTTTAGTTTCATTAAGCCATCCACAATAAGCAAGAGTGGATAATTATAATTATTCACTTTTGACAATAGTTAAGGAAGTACATGATATTGATTACATGATACGTGTACTACTGTAGTAGTGGTACATGTAATTAAGAAATATATTGTAAATTTGTAATAGTAAAATTATTTATCTATAGTAGAATACATGTATATGCCTCTGTGAAGCTTATTAAGTTGCTTCAAAATTTGGGCAATGGTCATGGACTACAGTACAGTACATGGCATTTCATTAGGAGAGAATTGTTAATTTTTATTACATGTAGTTTGAGCTGATTTCATGAATTTTTATGAACTTTTAAAGTTGCTCAAAAACTGGTAAAAACAACCTTTTGCTAAAAATAGAAAGCTGGTTTTTACTTGGCAAGATTTTATTTGTTTGCGAGTTGCGTTATGCATTAAGGCCTTTAATTGATATCTGGAGTAATTTGTTACAGTAATCAACCACGGCTATTATTTACTGTACTTTAATTATTATTGTAAACACAAAAAATTCCTATAACGGAAACTATTTATAGCAAGGCTAAATATAGACTATAACAGGAAATCTAATAATAGTAACACAGCTCACACGCATCTCTCGTCTCTGGAAAGAAACATGTCTCTTGCTTCTCTTTACTTTGCCAAACGTTTTGAAGGAATATCTGATGAAGAATTACTTCAATACACATGCTCTGTCTGGGAGGATTTTGTCAAGTTTCCATCATTTAAGAAAAAGATCAAATGGGATTTATACTTAGTGCACAAAAGTCTCTTTGGCCATTACTCATTGCTCTTTCTCTTGCATGGCTATGATGAAGGATTTCTGGTTCATCTAAAAGTATCTGACAGCCAAAAAGCCAAATTTCACTTAGACAGAGTCTCACTTCACACATTTGCAATTGATCCCAGGTACAAGAATCACAAAGCACTACTTATGGGTACTACAGAACCACTGGCAGCTCTCGAGATAGTTAAAATGGCACACGATAGACTTGTCAAGATGGGTACCTATCACTCTGCCTTAAACAACTGCCAGGATTATTGTGAGAAGGTTGCTAAAGATATTCAGACTTACAGAAGCTTTTTGAAAGGGTTATATGTAGCTGCAGCAAAAAGTGTTCCAGTAATAGGTGCCATTGTTACTATTTTTAGTGGTGGTATGGGCCTGCCTTTTGCCACTGCTTTTGCTGCTGTTGGTGCTAGTGCTGGCGTTGGTGCTAGTGCTGGTGGTGCTGCTGGGGCTGCTGGTGCTGCTGGGGCTAATTTTGCTTCTTTTTCTTCACAGTCTGTCTCCCGTGACATGGCCAATAGTATTGATTTGAGCACTCTTTATGGATTATATCATGCTACACCAGAGAAGAAAAGTTGCTGGAGTTGTGGACTTTGCATCTTGATAATACTGTTGATAATAATTACAGCTTTTTTTTGTTATATATCCATGTAGGAGCTGTCTTTTAGTTCATTAATTTTTGTTGATTACTTTTCTTTATTATTTCAAAAGTGTTTAACTTTGACATTAATGTGGAATACAGGAGGTGGGTGTAGTGTATTTTTAGATCTGGTTTGAAAGCAATTTATGTACATGCTACTGTGTGTGTTTGTTCAGTTTCTTTCTCTCCCATCTCTCTTTTTTAATATCTTTAAATCTCTCCCCTTGCTCTCTCTCCCCTTCACTCTCTCTCATAGAAAGAAGAAGAAGATGGTGTCATACCAGAAGTATCCTTGCTACGTATTATTAAAGCTAATTCCAAAGAATGGTGGCTCATTGCTCTTGGCCTTTTAGGCTCAGTAATCCTTGGATTCATATACCCAGTCTTTGCTCTCATTTTTGGTGAAATACTCGACATTTTTGCCCGTCCTCCTTCCGAGATACTGTCTGGGCTCCACCCATGGGCGGGGCTATTCCTTGGAATTGGAGTAGTCGTTGGACTTGGAGCATTTATAAGAGTAAGACTAAAAACTATTTGTGATTCTTTTGTGCTATTATTTTTTTAAATTACTAATAATTTAGCATCCTAATAACAATGCATTTATACATGTACATGTACATGTATTTACTTTTATTATTTTTATTTTTTTCTTTTCTCTTAGTCTCTTTGTTTGGGTATTGCTGGTGAGAACCTCACTGCTCGGCTGAGGACCTGGTCTTTCAGAACTTTCCTCCGCCAGGACATGTCATGGTTTGATAAAGAGGAGAACTCGGCCGGAGCACTGACTACAAAACTATCAACTGACGCATCTCTAGTTCAAGGAGTAAGCCATGAATCATACTATAGCATTCACATGTAGCATCATTATCACTATACCGTATAGTGCTTTAATTTAGTGGAGTTTTATTTTAGTGATTGGCGGTTTGCAAGCAGAATCGCCAATATTAAAACTCCCAATCATTAATGCACATGCTCAGTAATGCACATGTACACAAAAATTGCCAAATTAAAAACCGCTAATTAGAATTTTACAGCAAAATTGCCAAAATGAAGCGCTATACGGTATTACCTACTACATGGTACTTACATGTACATGTACAGTACATGTATAGCTCTTTAGGCTCAGTAACCAGCTTTGATGCATATACATGTACATAACAATGTAATGCTATCCATTATTGATACCATAGTCATTTTGTGAGTGCATGGATATGATCAGAATAATTATGTGAAAATTAAAATTGTAAGCAGATTAAGATAATAAATGATTCGTTCTCTATTCTATCCTAGTATCTGTTATAAAGTAGAAGGTTATTTATTCTCTCTCTCTCTCTCTCTCCCTCTCTCTCTCCCTAGGCAACTGGTTCAAGATTAGGTACACTTGTAGAGATAAGTGTGGCCATGTTACTTTCTCTTATCATATCATTCGTCTACTCCTGGATGCTTACCCTGGTACTGGCTGGATTTATACCTGTCTTCATGCTGGCTGGGTTCCTGCAATTCAGAGCCAATGCAGAGTCCATTAAATCAAGCACTGACTCCAGTACTGTAGCCGGAAAGGTAAGAATAAAGGACTGGTGGTAACTTAACAGTTTTTTATTTTGAAAACGACATAAATGGATAATATTGTTTTTTTTAGATTGTGATAGAGTCACTGGTGAACATTAGGACAGTCACCTCACTCGGTATTCAATCGAATTTCTTTCAATCTTACACTAACGAAATTAGAGGACCTTATAAGTAAGCCATGCCTACTTGACCCCTCCCACTTATGCTCCCTCTCTGACAGACGAGCTCTAATAAAGTCCCCAGTGCTTGGAGCTGCTTATGGTTTCTCTCAGGGTGTGCTGTATCTGGGGTACGTGGTCACTTTTGGATTCGGAGCTTATCAAGTAACAAGACAACCAGGTAAGACCAGCACTGTGTGTATTGATTCATGTTAACGCTGATTCTAACATTGATATTGACTTGATTTTAATCTGATTTTAATTTCATGTCACTCTACAGGTGATATTGCTCACAGCACATTCAGTAATATCTTTGTCGTCTTTACTGCTGTCATCTTTGGAGCTCTTGGTGCAGGGCAGGCCTCTTCCTTTGCTCCTGACTACGCCAAAGCTAAGCAATCAGCTAACAGAATATTTGCACTGTTGGACAGAGAACCAGCGATTGATGGATACTCTGAAGATGGACTCAAACCAGTGAGCATACATATGTATTTATGATCTTATACATCTAGTTTATAATGTGCAATAGCTGCATGGTGTACTGTAAGCATGAATCTATTCTTTTACCATTTTTTCCATAGAGTGATTTGTCTACCAAGGTTGAGCTTAAGAGAGTCCAGTTTAACTATCCATCACGTCCAAGCGTTCCAATACTTCAAGGTCTGTCAATCTCCGTAGAACCTGGCCAGACTCTGGCACTTGTGGGTCCCAGTGGGTGTGGTAAGAGCACAGTTGTCTCACTCGTCGAGAGGTTTTATGATCCACTGGGATGAGTTCTGTTCTTAGGAGATATTGCGCTTTCTGAGCTGAATATACGGTGGTTGCGTAATCAGATTGGTATAGTATCACAAGAGCCAGTATTGTTTGATAAATCAATTGCTGATAATATACGCTATGGAGCTAACTTTAGAGAAGTGACTGATGAAGAGGTCATTGAAGCTGCTAAAGCTGCCAACATACACAACTTCATACAAACACTGCC